CGAGCCCCTTTCGGCTACGAACGACTACACAAAAGGGGAAAACAAACGTGCCACAGGAACTTCACAATATTACAGGAGGAAGGCACCACCGAGAAACCGCCGTGAACCGCCGTGAAAGTCACCGGAAAGAGGAGAGTAGTGGGTCGAGAGAGAGAGAGGGGAGAGGCCAAAGAGTAGTGAGCGTAGAGAGAGAGTGAGATTAGAGAGAATTGTATATAATGAATCTCTCTCTCTCTATATATATATACATGCCAAATGGAGATGGAAGGCTAAGATCAAGATCTGTAATCAACGGCCCAGATCAGGCCTCGGAAAAGGACGCGGATCCTAGGCGGGTCACGGAGCGGGTCACGGGCAAATGGCGCATCACAGGTAAGGGTCAGCTTAACGGGTGTGGTTGTGGTGTGGGTTGTGTATCACAAGCCAGGCCTGATTCGATCGGGCTGCTTAATTGTTGGTGTGTAGTGTATAATATTTGGGTGGATCCGAAGGACAAAAAATACATCGTATTTTATTTATTATGTATATTTATCTTTGTATTTAATTAAAATATGCATCAAATATTTTGACGAGTGGTGTCTGCGGATTTCACGTTATAACAAAAAAAAAAACCAAATATTCTATTTGTTCAAAGTTAATATTTAATTGTAAATGTACATCTAATTATATAAATTTTATACAAATAAAAAGGTAAAATATCATAAATAATATTTTTGAATAATAAATATATAACTAATTAATTTATCAACTATTGATAAAATATTTTTGGAGACGATATCTAATTCTTATAAAAAAAAAACTATAAAATAAAATATTGATCAATTATTTATTTAATTTTTTTATTTCAAATAAGGTTATTTAAGATATTTTATATCTTTTATTTGTATATTGCATTATTAGGTGTGTGTTTACAACCTGTTGAGATATTTTAGATATTCGATTTTAGATTTAGCAGATTTATATTTAGATTTAGTCTTATCCATAGATTAGATTACTTAGATTTGAGTCTATCGAGTCAGTTTTGTATTGTCTATATATGTGACAACACGAGTTTGATATATATTCAAATACAGGGAATTTTAGTCGAAATTTAGATGTAAGGAATTATGGTGAGCGATCAGATATAGCAAAAGTTTATGGTTGTAAACCCTAAATCTTTTATCATAATTATTTATACTCTTTAACTGGTGAGTTTTCAGGTTGAACACAGAGATTTTAAGTCGCAAATTTAAATTAAGTATTAATCTCATGAAAGCGGCGGAAAAGTAGTAAAGAGACTCGCTCAAGGTGAGCCTGGATCTAAAACTATAGAATGCTGGAACACTAAGGAAAGCAGTAAAGGTGAGCGACGATGAGTGGAGCGATGGTTAGCGGGACTGGTGCCAGTGATGACTGAGTGAGAGGGACATGAACCAAGCAGCACAATATATCTATATATTTTGAGCGGTAGAGGGTGATAGAGAAGTGTTGTGTCTGAACTGTGCGTTACTCAATGGCTAGATTTTCCTGGATGAAATGAGCGAGTGATGCTGGTGTTTAATCGAAACATATATGTATAATACGAAAGCGGTGGGAGAGAGTAATGTAAATATATAAACCAGATTATAAAGAACTTTAATCACTGGTACTTGACCTTAAGAGATTTACAACAAGACTTCAATGACGCCCAAAATCAGAATATTATAAATAAGAAACTCTACTGTCACTAAAAATTTCTGTGACCCAATAGACCACTGTCTATGCCCCATTAATTATCTCAATTTCTGTCTCATTAGTGGCTTTACCCTTTTGTTACATCTTTTTAATCAAAATTGAATTTAGACCAGTAATCAAGCAGGTCGGCAAGGCTCCCGCGTACATAAACTACATCGAACTACCTTGAATTTGTTTGTGACAAAAAGACAAGGCTTGGTGATGACTCCAAATATGAGCATATTCTTAGCTTGACAAAACTGTGTATTACTTGAATTTATGTATAAAAACCATCACAATAACTTGTTAATGACATACATTATTGATCTATATCGCTTAGCATAATCCAAAGTTCGTTGTTGAGATTATTAACGATTTTTGCTCTTTTTTAGCGGTATTCTGGTGCTAGAAAAGCTAGGGCAGACACCACAAACGGTAGCCACCTCCGCTCGCAAGCGACCACTCCATCACCTAGAAAAGACTAAGGTAAGAGAGACAAGCGGTAGCTTCCACTGTCGCAAGCGACAGTCTCTCCCGCTTGCAAGCGACGACCCAGACACCCACCGCTACAGAATGACAACAAATATTGACTAAGTGTTCCAACTGCAGCGGTACAGCTATTCCATTTCCAGCCAGCACAAGCAAGTCTAGCTGCGCTGATGCCCTCCAGCCCTCCGGCAAGCGAGGAAGATCTGAGACCCTACTATCCTATACAAGCGAAGCGGACACCCTAGAAGTTATGGCCAGCAACTGTTTCAACAGAATAACTGCCATCAACCGTTTGAGCGAATGTGGACTTAAACAATCAGGGCGAATGTGGTATAACCGTCTGAGCGAATGTTTAATAAAAGAAGGTTAATTCAAATGATCCAATATGCCCATGCGTCTTTATTAAGAAAAATGGATCAAATTTTGTCATTATTGCAATATATGTTGATGATCTCAATTTAATTAGAACTTCTGAAGAGATCCAAATTGCAGTTGAATATCTAAAGAAATAATTTGAGATCAAATATTTTGGAAATACATAAATATTGTCTGGGATTACAAGTGGATCATGTTAATAACGGAATATTTATCCATCAATCTACATATACCCAAAAGGTATTAAAGCAATTCTATATGGATAAATCTCACTCTCTGAGTACACCAATGGTGGTCAGATCTCTTGATCTCAGTAAAGATCCATTTAGGCCAAAAGAAGAAAATGAAAAAATATTTGGCCCTGAGGTACTATATCTCAGCGCTATTGGCATATTAATGTACCTTGCAAATTGTAGCAGGCCAGATAAATCTTTTTCAGTAAATCTACTAGCCAGGTTTAGCGCATCCCCACAAAGTGCCACTGGAATGGTATTAAACACATTTTTCGTTATCTTCAGGGGACTTATGACCTCGGTATTTTATTCGAGTGAATCTCAAAATGAATTAATGGGTTATGCTGACGCTGGTTATCTGTCTGATCCACACAAAGCAAAATCTCAAACTGGCTATTTATTTACTTGTGGTGGAACCGCAATCTTTTGGAGATCTGCTAAACAGACAATAAGAGCTACTTCTTCAAACCATGATGAGATTTTAGCAATTCACAAAGCCAGTCGTGAATGTGTTTGGTTAAGATCTATGACTCACCATATTCATAAAAATTGTGGCTTGATTACCGATGATATATTACCTCATACAATATTATTCGAAGATAATGCGGCTTGTATAGCTCAGTTAAAGGGAGGATATATTAAAGGCGATCGGACAAAGCACATATCTCCGAAGTTTTTTTCACTCACGATTTTCAGAAAGTGGCGAAATTAATGTGCAACAAATTCGATCATCTGAAAATTTTGCAGATTTATTTACGAAGGCACTACCGAATGCAACATTCAACAAACTGATGCAAGGAATTGGAATGCGTCGGATGAAAGACATCAAATAAAATCTAAAACAAGGGGAGCGCATTAATACAAAAATGATGTACTCTTTTTCCTTCACTATGATTTTTTTCCACAGGGTTTTTTCATAATAAAGTTTTAACGAGATACATTTTTTTTTTTTTTTGTATAAAAGCATCCAACGAGAAATGTTATAACACATAGTGTCTACAAAGCATTATGTAAACACTACATGGTACTTACGTAGCATATATAGATGCATTTACATTAAGTCAGCTACTCATTCCTATATATATATATATATATATCATTGCTGATGAATAAATCCATTCACAATCACACAATCTCTCTCTATATGTATTCTTTCTCTAGAATTATAGTATTAATCAATATACATACATAAACATATACATACAATCTGCACATACATACATATATTATTATATTTGCACTCGCATAGTATATATATATATATCTGTATATTATATTATTATTTATATAACATCATTCTATTATAACTATATATTATATCGTTTAAACTGAAGACAATAATTTTTTTAATATATTTTTTCTTAATTACTCTGCAATTTTATATTTATGTTAAAATATTTATATTAAATACTAAAAATTTGCTATCCAACCTATTTTTAGGGGCATGATTATCATAAATATTATAAAAATATACAATATATACATATAAAAAAAGTTTGGGTTTGTTTGATTGTAAATTTAGAAATTTTGTGTAAAATTTTAAACAATAATATTTTAAATTCAAATAATTATTTAATATTCATTCCGTCCAGATAAAGATGAATATTTTTGTTAGGAATGAATATTTTATGTAGTGTAGATTAGTAAAGTATTAATAATAAGTTATGATATTAATTTATTATTTTTATATGAATTGTATTGTTGGTATTTTAAATATTTTTACGATTATATCTCAATAAAATATATATAATATGAATATCATTTTGTAAATAATAAAATTTTATATAATACAATTAAATAAAAAATATATGTACTTATTTATAATCAACTTAAAGCTAATTTTATAAAAGAATAAGAAATTTTAAATATTAATTTATTGATGAGAGACGTAGAAATAAAGATTTTGAATGTACTAAATATTAAAAATTTAATTAAATTGATTCAATATTTGTTAAATGTAAATATACCAAATATAGAAATGATCATCTTTTAGCGAAAAAGAAAAAGAGATATGTAGCGGAATAAAGTGAGTATAATATAAATACATATTAAATAGTATTTTAAATAAAAAATAATTTTTAATATAATATTAAAAATTAAAAATATTTTATTTGATATTTTTGGATGAAAATTAATAGAATGATGACTTTATTTCCTATAGGCCCATATAACATAAAAATATTAATGGGCTTTTGATCTAATAGATTTTCAAATCCACTTCATATAACATAACATCAAAAGGAGAAACCCTAGTCGTCAACCCCCAATACATAACAACGATCTTCTGTTCCTCCATTACCCCTTGCAGAGTCGGCCGCAGCAGCAGCCATGGGTGAATTCATTCTTCCTATACTACTAAATCCTGTATGTCATTTTGGTTGTGTTTTGACTTTGTTTTGGTATTGGCATTGCCATTGCAGGCGCGTACACTTACGTTTCCGAGCTATGGAAGAAGAAACAATCAGATGTGATGCGGTTCCTGCTGCGGGTTCGCTGCTGGGAGTACCGTCAGCTTCCGGCGGTTGTACGCGTCACCCATCCGACCCGCCCCGACAAGGCGCGTCGTCTCGGCTACAAGGCCAAACAGGTATTTCTGTTCTAAAATTTCCGTGATACATGAACGCTGTTCCTTGTTTTCAGTCGGCATGCGAGATGTTATGTAGGAAATTGTTAAGTAGATTATTTTTAGATTTGTGTTCAGCTTTTTAGATTGAGTAGGTTTATTTCTAAGCATCTCAGATTTGATTTAGATTTTCTCCTGATCCAGCGACGGCGATCCTATTGGTGTGATCTTGGTGTAAGCATTAAATGGGTCGTTTGAATGTAAAAGAATATGAAGATGTTGTGTTTGTATATATGATTTGGAAACTTTTTGTAGTTTCTAAAAGTTATGGAATAGTGAAGGAAAATAAACTTAGGTATTTGATGCGGTCTTTAGCCTGATATTTAAAAAAAAAAAAAAAAAAAAAAAAAAAAGAGTAAATATATGATTTTTTGAATGTTCCAAAAGTGATTTGAAAAAGTCTGGGGAAGATTGAGTGATTAATATTGGAATTTGTATGAATCTTAATTCTTACATATGAATGGATACAAACTAGGTTTTTAATTTAATGTTTTAGATGTAAAATAGGCTATCGATAAAATACTTTACTTTAGAATTAGCGACGACAAAGTAAGTTTAGAAACACAAACAAAAGTACCATTTCTCTATTGAGACTTTATTAGCCGAGGTGACTGCAAAACATAGTCCCAACAATTCGAAAATGTACCATTTTTTAATTTTTAGCCTGCTGGAATTCAAGGGGAAAGATAAATGCCTGCAATAATTATGATCACTACTGAAATTTCTAATCTATGAGTTTTCGAAGAAAAATAACGATTTACATTGGATGTCTTTGCTTGGAGAAAAATTGTTGTGTGTTCATGCGCTATTTAATCAAATTTTCTTTCAGTAGTATGTATCCTCAAATGATTTGAAAATTATGGCTTTCAGGGTTATGTCGTCTACCGTGTTCGTGTTAGACGTGGTGGGAGGAAGAGGCCGGTCCCCAAGGGTATTGTATATGGTAAACCCACAAACCAGGGTGTCACTCAGCTGAAGTTCCAACGCAGCAAGCGCTCTGTGGCAGAGGAGCGCGCCGGAAGGAAATTAGGTGGCCTTAGAGTTCTAAATTCTTACTGGATCAATGAGGTTTGCATTTGCGCGATTACTCCTTTTTTGTTTCTATATATATATGTATTCCAGAAATTATGGATAGCAAATGTGATTATTGGATAATATTGTTTTATTACAAAATCTTGACGGAGTTTATTTATTCATTGTAGGATTCAACTTACAAGTACTTTGAGGTTATTTTGGTCGATCCAGCCCATACCACTATCCGTAATGATCCTCGGGTTAACTGGATTTGCAATGCTGTTCACAAACACAGGGAGCTCCGGGGGCTGACCTCAGCCGGGAAAAAGTACAGGGGCCTGAGGGGAAGGGGCCATTTGCACCACAAGGCGCGACCGTCGAGAAGGGCCACTTGGAAGAGGAACCAAACACTCTCGCTTCGCCGCTATCGTTGAGGTATTTTTATTTATTTAATTCAGTCAGTCAGTCCGTCACTGTTGATCACATTAGTAATCTTTTTTTGGCCTACTCCTTCTCCTACTCTGCCGTTATGTTACGTTTTGAATGTGTTTGGTCTTCTGGGTTTCTGACATTTATATCCAGACATCTATATATTGCAATGCCAAATTCCTTGAAATTTTGAATGTTACTATTTTCTTTTGAATTTCTATTTGTGGTCTTTGGCCATTCTCAAGGAATCGTGACGATGATTGATTGCATATAATTATTATTATTATTCTTTAAAAAAAATAAGAAAAGAAAAATAACAAAATTGCTTTTGAGAATCGTTTGGTGCTATGGAAAATCTTTTGGGTCTCTTTGGTAAAGAGAATAGAATTCCAAATAAATGGCAATTGAGAATTGATTCTTGTTTGTTAAAAAGTAGAGAATTCTAAATATATAATAGAGAAATGTAAAAATAAACAAAATAATTGATAACACAGTAGTTAATCGATATGAGTATATTTAGTTAGTAAATTTTTGTTTTATTTATTTTATTGTATTCAATTTTATTTTGATTTTTTTTTTTCATTTGAATAATGGCTTTAATACATATTCTATAAAATAAAATAAAATAATTTTTATTATAAAAATATAGAAGTTAATAATTTTTTTTTAAAAAAAATGGAAAGTAAAAAGTAAACAAAATTATCTTTATGAATATTTATCAAAATAAAATAGTAAGAAAATGAAATAATTATAATCACCAACTTTCAATTGTATTTCTGTGTATATGGTAAAGATTATAATGGGAAAGTAGGAAATAATTTAGAAAGAAATCATTTTCATTTTCCAGTCTATTTTTTTCTCTGTATCAAACATTCTTTAAAATGGAGTCTTTGTATTTAAATTTAAATTCAAATAGAACCAAAGAAATCCTGTCTAAAAATATTATTTATATTATCATTTAATTTTTTTAGATTATCAAAAAACAAAAAAAAAAAAAAAAGAATATATGTTGTGTTCTTGCTAAAAAAATATACCGGGTTTGTTTGTCTAATTAAATTTCTATCGATACAATTTTTAATATATTATATAGTCCATATGTCTTAATTTAAAGTATCGTTTTTATAATTTTCGTTTATTCCATTTTGATGATCTGTAAATTTGATATGGCCTAAAACTTATCGCTGGGAGAATTGGTGGGTTCTCCGGAAACTCGATGCGAATCTCCGGCTGACGGAAGAATTGACGGTTGCTGCCCTTGAAATTCTACCGAAAATAATGATTGTCAGAATCATCCTTGCTCATGAAACAAACTAATTGCATTTGGACTTTTATAAGTAGTTGTATATATCGACTGTCCTATAAGTGTCCTTCTATTGTTGGATATATTAGTGAAAAGGGAAATATAATGTTACATATGGGAAGATGAAACAAAACTCAACAACCATATATTACAATAGAACACATAATTGATAAAAAAAAATTTGAGGCATAGATTGGATTGGGCCAATGCTTGAGCTTGAGCTTGGCCTTTGATTTGGGATGTATATTATATATATATATCAAAGATGGGCCTTGAGACCATGGGAGCTCGTGGCTAAGCCCAATAAATTGAAATATATTTTAAATTAATATTGATTTTGAATAATTTGATTTGAAGCAGTTAAATTAATTTGTTGCAACTGATTTGCAATGTGATGCTAATATTATGGTAGTGGGTAGAAGACGTGAGATTCAAATAAATCATTTTTCTCTCAAATAATATATCTGAAACATCTCCAACAAAAAGATAGCTATCTCGGTTTTTTATATAATCTCTCTCTAAAAAAAACTTCTCATATGTAATTTTTGTTCAAAAAATCTTCTCTAAAAAACTTCTGCGAAATCTCTCTGAAATTCTTATTTCCTATTTCAGTTTGCGGAATCCGTTATTTCAGTTAATTCGTTTTATTCTGGGAGGCGATCGGTGGCGGACCGAATTCGCTTCAAGAAAATCGCGTCCACGCGAGGCTCAAATTCGATTTTAATTTGATTTTTGATTTCAGAACTTTAGATCAATAATCTCGGATTTGTCTAATATCAGATTTCATGTGAAATCTGAGATGGCTGACGAAATCCCTCAGATCCAAGATCAGATCGCGGCTGCCCAAAACGTACCTGAAGACGAGGCGATGATTGAAGCGATGGACGATCCTGATAGAAATCTGAACGATCTAAATGACGACGTTCAAATTGGTGCAGATGGAGACGAGAACGAAGAGGTGAATTCAAGCGAGTCTCACACTCCCGCTCCTACTGTTCCATTATTTCAGCCACCTCGCAGAACCAGTGAAATCGCTGAAACCAATGCTACAAGGCGTGAAACACGCGAGGCGGCCAAGATGGCTACGAAGGCAGCGTACGAACAGCCTTCAAGGCCGCGATGGAGGGAGCGCAGTCTGTTGCTGCAACCTCCAATCAACCTGTTGCTGGAGAGAAAAAACGGAATCCTGTTGATACCCGTGTGAGACAACCAGCTGCTGTTCTGCCTCGTCTGCAGCGTAGGGCTGTAGGACTCTTCCGGACAAAAACTAGACGAATTGAAGGGTATACAACCTGTTGCTGTTACGGACCATGTAATGCAGCCTGTTGCTGCAATTTTCAGGCAACCTGTTGCTGTGACAACCGATAAGCCAGAAAAATTCAACGGGCAAGCATGGCAACAAAAAATGTTGTTTTATTTGACCACGCTGAATCTGACCGATTGACTGATGGAGGATGCACTTGTTGTGCCTGAAGGATCATCGGAAGAACAAAAAACACAAATTCTGAAAGTCTGGAACCGTTCAGACTTTATGTGCAAAAATTATATACTGAACGGCATGAGTAACTCCCTGTACGGTGTCTACCAGCATGCGTTAACGGCTAAGCAACTGTGGGAGATGCTGGAGAAAAAGTACATAACCGAGGATGCTAGTGCAAAGAAATTTATCATTGGTCGGTTTCTGGATTTCAAAATGGTCGATGGAAAAAACGTTACGAAATAGCTTGATGCGTTTCAACTGATTTTGCATGAGATCCAGGCCGAGGGGATGGAACTAAGTGAAGCATTCCAAGTGGCGACGATAATTGAAAAATTATCACCTAGTTTGGGTGATTTCAAAATTTACTTAAAAACACAAACGTATGGAAATGGATATGGTGAGACTGATTAATCGTCTACAAACTGAAGAGTAGCATAGATCGAACCTGACAAGCAGGGGACATCTGATACTCGGAAGCAAAACCAATGTAGTCAAACACAAATGCCAAGACTCTCGTTTCAATATAGCTCCGAGGAACAATGAGCAACCAGGAAAGAACTGGAAGCCAACGGACAAGGGAAAAGAGAAACTGAAGCCATCTGGTGGCATTGAAAAGGCAAAGAGTACCTTCAAAGGTACCTCTTTTAATTGCGGAAAGTTCGGACACCATTCGATAGACTGCAAGGCGCCGAAAAGAAAGAAAGAGACGAATTAGGCACACGTTGTTTCTAAAGATGAAGAGCCACTTGACTTGACATGTGTTGTCTCTGAGAAAAAACTGGTGGGATCAAACAAGAAATAATTGTGGCTCGACACGGGAACAACTCGCTATATCTGCATGGACACGAATCAATTCTCTTCATTCGAGCGTGTCGAAGGAGAAACAATGTAAATGGGGAATGCTGCTCCTACGGAAGTCAAGGGAAGAGGAAAAGTGCTTCTGAAGATGATGTCTGGAAGAATTGTAACGCTGACCAATGTCCTCTACGTGCCAGCGATGACGAAGAACCTGGTCTCGGGGACGCTCCTGATGAAACACGACTTTAATATTAATATGAATAGTGATAATTTTGTTTTGCGTAAATCAGGATTGTATGTGGGTAAAGGATATATAGATGATGGACTTTTGAAATGCTGTATTATGACAATTATTGAAAAAAATAATAGTAAGTCTGTTGCTTACATTGTTGAGTCCTCTACTTCATGGCATAGCCGATTGGGTCATGTTAATTATGATTCAATTCGTCGATTAATTAACCTGAACCACTTTCGAAAGTTTGAATTAAACAAACATAAACATGAAATTTGTATTGAAGCAAAACAAACTCAATCGTCTTTCCAAACGATTCACCGTGAAACTGAATCACTCGAATTAATATACAATAACGTATGTGATTTAAAATTTGTACAAACATGTGACGGTAATAAATATTTTATTACATTTATTGATGATTGTACGAAATATTGTTATGTGTATTTACTTAAAGGCAAAGATGAGACATTAAGTAAATTTATTTTGTACAAAAATGAAGTGGAAAACTTAACAAATGAATTAAACGAATTCGAAGTGATAGAAGTGGAGAATATGAAACTCCGATCGGTGAATTTTTTGCACAAAATGGAATAATTCACGAAATAACTCCACCGTATTCACCTCAATTGAACGGCGTTGTTTAACGCAAAAATCGCACATTAAAAGAAATAATGAATGCGGTGTTATTAAGTTGTGGACTACTCCAAAATATGTGGGGAAAGGCAATTTTAAGCAGTAATTATTTTTTTAACTTAATACCTCGAAAAAAGATGGAAAAGATCCCTTATGAGCTTTGGAAAGGTCAAAAACCATCTTACAAACACCTTCGAGTGTGGGGATGTCTAGCTAAGGTAGTGGTGCCACCTCCCAAACGTGTGAAAATCAGTCCCAAGACAGTGGACTACATTTTCATAGGATATGCACATAACAGTACTGCCTATCAATTCTTGGTATTCGATTAAAAAATTTCGGATATCCCAAAGAATACGATAATGGAATCCAAGAATGCATCATTCTTTGAAAATGTGTTCCTTGCAAAGGTAGGCGCTGAATTTAGTTCGGCTAACCGAGAACATGAAACTGTGAACCAAGATCGAATGGAAATATATGAATCTGAATCTGAACCAGGTCAGGAACCTGAGCTCGGAAGAAGCAAGCGAGCACGAGTTGAAAAGTTGTTTGGAAATGAATATTTCACTTATATCCTTGAAAACGAGCCTCAAACATATGCTCAGGCAACGAGGTCTGCCGAAGCGCCTCTTTGGAAAGAAGCTGTAAAAAGTGAATTTGATTCTATTATTCATATCACACTTGAGAGCTTGTGGATCTCCCACCTGGTTCGAAACCTCTTGGATCAAAGTGGATATTCAAGAG